ATGGAAGTTTTAGCATGAGTAAGCCAAGTAAACATCGGTCGGAGCGAAGTAATTGAGAGAAAGCAATCAGTATACAGGTATAAGAAGGAAGGTATCGATTAGTGGAATCACAAGTAAACAGTACAAAGAAGGAAATGAAACCTAACTAAGACACATACCTGGGTTTGAATAGAAAACAATTGAGTCGAATAGGGGCTAAAATAAGGAAGGAACTGGTCGGAATCGAAGGAAGAGAAAGGAATCGGTCGGAGCTGTAAGGGGAAAGTGGTTGGATGTAAAGGAGTTGGTCGGAGTTTTGGGAGGATTGAAAGGTATAAGAAGGGCTGTTGGAGTCAAAGTGAGAATCCTTGTGTGTGTCCTAATTGTGATATCAAGTGTTTCGTTAGTGTACTATTCGTGTCTGAGTGTATGTTGTCTGAGCTCGTCTGTCCCAGAATCATCATCATTATATAATAAACTTTGAGCTTTTCCTTTCGGTGTACTCACGAGGAACGCTTGGGGGCATGAATATCGGTAGACGGATTGTCATCTATTTATACCTTTTTATTCCCCTGATAAACTGTTTCTGCGATATTTTTGTTATGCTTTACTGATTGTTCTCCTTTTGCGTGTAACATTGTTGCTTTTCCCAATAGGGCAGTTCAAGTTTGAATTTTAAGGCACTTTTTTAGGTTTTAAGACATGCTCGATGTCCTTAAAACAAAACTTATGTTTTAAGACCATCGAGCCATCTCTAGAGGTGGCTCGAAGATTTATAATTTATAAGTCACCTTATAATTTATAAGTACTTTGGCCCATACTCAAAAAAATCCGGTGAGAGCAGGTAGGAGCAGGTGAGACAAGGTTCAAAGAAGTTCACCTGCCCTCTCCCTCTCCCATACCCCTTTTCAATCACCTCTTTCTCTCCCATACCCTCTCTCGATCACCTCTCTCTCTCCCATACCCTCTCTCGATCACCTCTCTCTTTCTCTCTCATACCCTCTCATATCCTGTCTCAATCACCTGTATCCCTTTCGATCACCTCATCTTATCCTCATCCCATCCTCATCCCATCCTCATCGCTTACCTATCTTCATCCCTTCGATTCTCCTCAAATCCCATCCTCATATCTACAAATCTCTACTCTACAAATCAATTCATTCAAAACATCCTCTTCACACCAACTCTTTCCGAATCATCCTTGATCAGCCAGTTACAACCAAATTGTTTTCGATCAATCTCAATCCGAATCTCAATCCGAATCTCAATCCGAATCTCAATCCAAATCTCAATTCATTTATTTCACTTCATTTCATTCAAATCATTTCATTCAAATCATTTCATTCAAATCTCTACTCTACAAATCAATTCATTCAAAACATCCTCTTCACACCAACTCTTTCTGAATCATCCTTGATCAGCCAGTTACAACCAAATTGTTTTTGATCAATCTCAATTCATTTATTTCAATCCGAATCTCAATCTCAATCCGAATCTCAATCAATCAATCTGAATCATTTCATTCAATTCATTTAAGTGAAATCAATCGAATCAAAACATCATTCTGAACAATGGCCACATCAGAGAATCGTGCTAGTTCAGTAAGTCCTCCAATCTTCCCAAATCAAATCTCAGATATGGATTGCTGACATCAGAAACATCACCAGGTTGCCCGTGCACCTCGCCGGACTCAACTTCAGCTTCTGGCAGATCTTGCCGCCACTGGACACACAGGCAAGGGCAAGCCTACGCCTGCCGAAGTTAAAAGATCACTTGCGGCCGCCAAAGCCCGAAATCAATTGGGTCAGCCAATTGGTTCAGGATCGACAACTAAAAAATC